AAATTTAATAAACTATCGGTTGGCAATGGACATTTATTCCATAAATTAATTAATTAATGCATACGAAATCACGAAACGTCTTAAAAGAGAACGCGTCCTTTTGTACAAAATAGTAATGAAGGGAAGAATTCAGTTCCACTATTCCTCTCGGGTTTGGTTTTTAAAATAAATTAACATAACAGCTGAAAAAAATATCGCAAATATACATTTATTCACGCAATTTGAGTTTTCCATTAACAACATGTGCCATAAAACATCAAAAGGGACATTACTACACATCAAATTATGCAACTGTGAAAATGGGCGTTTCCCAGGGGTCAGTTTTGGGGCCCATACTCTTCGGACTATATGTTAACGATTTAACATCTTACCTTAATGAACAAACGGTTTGGGTGCTGCATTCAGAGAACATCTCATTATTAATTTCAGAAAAAACGATAATTCTCTTCAAGCAATATCCGATGTAAATGGGTTAAGTGGAAGAACACCTGGTGGCGATGTTGCCCCTAGGTCAACTTCGCCCTTTAGATCGTCATCCAATAAAGACCTTATTATTATTATTATTTACATAAAATTTATAACTGGTGCAACGCTAATTCTTGACCTGAACCTCTTTGAGGTGTAAGTTGTTTTAGAAATTAATTTTCAGTCGTAGTTATAGTTTCAACGCCGAGAAAACTGGATAGACCCATCATTTAGCGGGCCAAACGCCAATTTATCTAGCAGATTTGTTAGGGTAATAGATGCGCCTAAGGATAAAAATTAAACATGGTATTATGGCTCTATTAACTATTTTTGAAGAGTTTATAATTTTGCGGTGTCTGTCCGTCCGTTAGCACAATATCTCGATAACAAATAGACCGATTACGGTAAAGTTTAGTAGATGGAGTCTTTATCAAATTTGTAGATCGGAGTTCGTGAATTGGCAATGTAGCCCAAAAAATAAGGAAGGCCCTTACTTATATCGAAATACGGTTTTTACAAATCGGTCGCAAGCCACTGCACTTTCAACACCGAAACGTGAATTAATTCATCACGGATCGCAATTTGGGTTATGGTATCCCTTATGTAGCTTTTATTGCACAAAGATTTAAGAGATTCCAGTCAGAAACAACACCTTAGTACCTATATCTGTTTTGTTCTTGAACTGGAGCCGTTTCGAAGATCTTTTTATTTAACATGTCAAAAAAAATTCCGCCTATTGCAAATCAAACGTATCTGACCCTTCTTTGTTTTCCTGAACTATTGCCTTCATAAACTTTATTTATGTCAGCAAATAAAACAAACCCAAAAATATCGATAACACAAAAGTCCCTCGCATATTTTTAGCTTTCTGCAGGTATAATATCATAGTCGCACCTGTATTTACATATTAGAAATCACCGACATTTTATGTTTACTTGGGCGCTTTGTTCAAAAGTTTGGGGAAAACACTGTGATTTCCCTGGTTGTTGACTTCTGATTTGTTTGTGCTGTAATATTTTCCAATGAGGGCATTATCTTCGCTCATGATATGATAAAACCAGGTGTCAAATGGGGGTTTACAGTATAGTTGAATTCCGCAGTTCTAATTTAATAAGCGTGTACCTGAAACCATAAAACATTTTTTTGGACAGTAAAAGTTTATTTAAAAATAGAGGCTGATTAGCAAAAAAAATAATGAACATGTGCGGTTTTAAAGGTTTATTCAAAACGATATGATTGTGGCGGGCTCTGTGACGTAATAAGCCCGACCAATCAGCTCCTAGAACCATTCAGATGGCATAACGACTTGGCAATATTGCAGAAGAATGGCATTTATAACTTGCGTCATCTGTCACAGGCACTTGTCACTTTCGTGCTAGATGCAGTTAAACATCCCTCTCAAAAAGGTCAAATGTGACAAACGTCAGACCCTCGGGTAAGGTTGCCAGCTCACTTCTACGTGATTGGTTGTAGGTTTGTGACGTATTTAGTCTGAAGCGTTTCAAATTCGGAATAAAAACACAGCTTTTCCATAATTTATTTTGGGTTTATTTTACTCGCAAATAAAAATTGAGGACACACGGGTCTTTTTATTTTTAATGTACTTTGTGGATCAGAAATAAAAAATTAAGGCGGGATGGCCCCATTCTTGACAGAATAGCTTCCTAGCTGAAACCAAAAATTGTTTTGTTAGCTTTTATTAAAAGGACCTACCATCTAAATTTCGTTAAAATTGTTCCATAAATAAGAAAGTTGCATTTCTGCGCATGCGCAACACGATTTCTGCGCATGCGCAACACGATTTTTGCGCATGCATTTTGTTTGCTTTTATTAGAGGGACCTACCATCCAATTTTCGTTAAAATTGCTCCATAATTAAGAAAGTTGGATGTTGCACATGCGCAACTCGATTTTTTGCGCATGCATTTTGTTTTCTTTTATTAGGAGGACCTACCATCCAACTTTCGTTTTAATTGTTCCATAAATAAGAAAATTGCATTTCTGCGCATGCGCAACCCGATTTTTGCGCATGAATTTTGTTTGCTTTTATTAAAGGGACTTACCATAGAAATTTCGTTTAAATTGCTTCAGAAACAAGATCGTTGCGTTTTGCACATATGCAACACAATTTTTTGACTTTGACCATTTTTTTCTCCGTTTTTTGATAATATAACCCGGCCCAATTTTTTGTAGGTTGTACACAGGAAAATAAGGTCATCCAAATAATAGAATAAAAATTTTAAGTTGCTATTTGAAAAAAAAAGTTCGATGCCGTTACGGCGCTCCAAAATTTTTTTTCAAAAATCCGGCCCGTTATTTTTCTGTTCGGTATGCCTAAAACATATACATATACAAAATTTCAACAAAATCCGTCGAGCCGTTTTCTCAGAAAATTGCCACAAACGTACGTACATACAGACGGAAAAAAATTTTATTCTTTAAAAGTTGCTTAAAATGGTCTAAAACGTCGACATTTGATGAAATTTTGAAATGTTCAAAAAACGGCTATCGCAATAGCTACCTAGCACATGCTAGGAAGCTAAAAATTCTTCATTAGGTCATCAAGTCAAATATTTGTACTTATTCGATTCTTGAAATTGAGTGTAACCTGTAGGTATCTATTTTTTCAGAAATTCCCCTTTACCTTATCGATATCGAAAATATTAAGTGTTCTAAATAATCTAAATCACCGGTGTTATCTTCTCTCGAGACGCTCATACCTGATACCTATATAAGTCCGGCCAAGCCGAACCGAGCGTTATTCAGCTGCAGTAATTAGCAACGTAAACATGAATGTATCAAAACTGTTCGTCTTTCTGGTGCTCATTATCGCCAGCCTTTTCGGACAGACGCAAGCAAAATGGAAAGGATGGAAAAGACTTGTAAGTATTTACTAAAAAAAAATGACAGCATTACTGTAAGATTATGTTTTCCAGGAAAACGTTGGGAAGAAGGTGTTCGACACGGGGGTGGTTGTTGTTGCAGTAGCGGCATCAGGAAGACGGGGTTGAGGGTGGTGTAGTTTACTATCAATGAATACCTTACTCTTATTACCTATGTAACTACTATATATCACAATATCAATAAATCTACTACATTTGACTAATTTTGAATAAAATAGTGTACCTATGATCATGTATGAAAGTTGCTTTATAATAAAACCAAAGAGGGGTACTCTGTACAGAATTAAACCTTCGTTTTGTTAGAAAATTATGTCAAATTAGAACAAAATGCATGAGAATAAATAATATTTTCACAATAAAACTAGCACAAACCATTTTTTGCGATGTTTTCAAAACTATTGAAGATATTTTAAATTTCTTTTCAGATTATTATTCAGCACGAAAATTCGCAACATTGCCATCATTTAACCAATATATAGTTGGCATTCGAAAAATGGACACCGTGTATGCGCTTAAAGTAGGGGTGAAATCATCTCTTAAATGACGCAGTTATTAAGGATCTTTAGATCTTTCATAAAGAGCGATTACAAAAATTCCACGTCATAGTTGGTGGTCATAACGGATTTATAAAAGGAATCAAAACACTTGTGCCACGCTACGCCATGATAAGTGCCTCAATTTGAATGGCGCTTGTGTTGATTAATAGCCGAAGAGTGTAGCCCCCAAATGTATATAATAGATTTTCTGTTAAAATTGTTTTATTTCAGAACGTCTGCTACTTTCTGGACAACCCTCGTAATACACTATTATATCAATGATTTTTATTGGATATTTAGCTGCACACCCTAGTGCTAGTCTTTAATTTTATTGTGAACAGGTACAATTACACAACCAACAATAAGAAGCATCATTTAACGTATGCAATTTCCAAAGTTTTTAATTATGATGACTGCAATTACATGTCAAAAAATTCTTTCACACGCTCCGCTTTGAATCGCTGATAACTGATATATGTATCATGTAATTACTCTACAATTAAAGTGTAACCTATTAACACTTACAACCTTCTCAATTTGTGAACAATGTAATTGCGCTACCCTAAGCAAAACTTAAAGGGGCACATCCACACATTGTAAGATGTGTACGCCACAAATAGTAGAAAAGTTTAAATAGTCATTTACTATTAAACCATGACACATCGAAGAATACCTATTTTTATGTTGTGGTCAGTGTAATTGTGCCACGAATAGTAGGTAAGGCTGTTTTAAAGCATAATCGATGTAAGGGAATGTCGGCGAGTTGTTGTACAGTTGTACGAGTGCTCTAGAAATTGAGTGATAAATAGTGATCTTTATTGGTAATTTGAAAATTGCAATAAAAAATGTTGCATTTCTACCAAGCTTACCCCACTTACCACAGTCGCTTTTAAATGAAATTGTTTACTAATTGAAAATTTTAATTAATTAATTTTTATATATTCGCGTTTAATGAAATAAGTTGCAAGTTGTTACTTTTTTGTTCTATTCAATTCGTAATAAAAAAAATTACATCTCGAAAAATTAGAGCGATGCCAACTATATATTATACGTATCATTAATTCAGAGACATAACAATCCTCCCTCCTTAATTACAACTATAAATTCAAGCGGTTTGGCGGTAAACGCAATCGGCCTGATCTACGAAGAATATCTGCTGAATCTGGTTGTACCAACGTCGGTTCTTGGTCAGTTTCAGACTCCTGTTGCTGCGGCGATTGTTGCCAAGTATTTGATTGCCTATAAGGTGTTGATTGACCAACCGGTAATCTCATGGGTGAAGTTGAGTCAATCACCGAAGAATCGGTAGAAACACACGCTGGTCTTGTCTCGGCTGATTTCGACATAATGGTTGGATGTGGTTGCGATGTACTTGGTGCGGCTTCTAAGGCCGAATCTGAATGATCTGCATGGGTATCATCTCCTCCTTCACAAAGCGTTCGTCGCATCTGGTTTACGTGACACTTTCGATGTCTGCCATCCACTTCTACATCATAATGTGTAAGGCCACATCGTGCGAATACAGTCCCAAATTCCCATTTAACTCGTAAGTTTCGGTATGACCGTATCTGTACTTTGTCACCTGATACAAATTCTCGTGATACTGGTTCATTCGACGAATTTTCATTCATCTCAGTGGTCAGATCTCGTTTCATGAGAACCAATTTGGTTCGGATTTGTCGCCCAAACATGAGTTCAGCTGGACTTTGACCTGTTGTACTGTTCGGTGCCTTTCGATATTGTATCAGCAGGCGATCCAACTTCAAATCCAAATCACCAGGCTCATCTGCCATGCAACGCAAACCCTTCTTCAGCATTTGCACATAACGTTCAGCCTGCCCATTACTTGCTGGATGGTATGGCGCCGTGAATTTGTGGCGAATACCATTTTGTTTCGTAAATGTGTCCATCTCGTTTGATCGAAATTGTGGGCCATTGTCGCTAACCATCGTAACTGGAATACCAAACCTAGCAAACGTCCTTCTCAAAATTCTAATCGTAGTTTTCGTGTCAGTATTCCTCGTAGGAAAAATCTCCGGCCACTTACTGTAAGCGTCGACGATCAATAGAAAGTTCGTGTTCATGAATGGCCCAGCATAGTCTATATGAATTCGTTGAAATGGGAACGATGGAAACTCCCACGAATGCACTGGAACTTTGGCGGCTTCCTTCTGAACCAAACAGCAACTTCGACATTTCTTTACCGTCATTTCAATATCGGCATCAATACCATTCCAAAAACAGTAACGTAACGTGCCATAGCCTTCATCTTCGTCATTCCCAAATGAGCATCGTGTAATTCGTTCAAAACTGTTTGTTGCAGTGATTTTGGGATGACAACGCGCATACCATAGAAAATGCATCCATCGTGCATGTTATACTTCGTTTGTGTTTCGTTCGGGTTCGATGAACTACTCTCCAGTTCGTGGCAAACTTTACGCAATACTTCATCTTTAATAGTTTCTCGTCGAATTTGTTCTCGTGTTACTGGCATGTACTCTATCTGCTTCGTTTGAAATATGCTCGTTTCGTCTTCAGCAATCTTTGTTGGTTCTGGGAAACGTGAAAAATAATCTGCATTTAAATTTTCGTGCGTGCTCCGATACTCTATTGTATAATTGAATTCTGACAAGTATATTGCGTAATTCAGCATTCGCATTGCTGAAAGCGTTGGTAGTGCCTTGTCGGGGTTAAAGATCGTCACTAGCGGCTTATGGTCCGTGCGCAATACAAATTTCCGGCCGTAGCAATATTGGAAAAATTTGTTAATGCCCCAAAAAATTGCGGTTGCTTCCTTATCTATTTGGCTATAATTTTGTTCGCTTTTCGACAATGTTCGGGATGCAAAGGCGATTGGTCTTTCCATTCCATTGGACATCTTATGTGATAACACGGCACCGAGACCAACAGATGATGCATCAGTTTCCACGATCAATGGCAATTTCGGGTCATAGTGCATCAAAACCCGGTCGCTGGTCAATTCTTTTTTTATTATATCAAACGCCTTTTTGCATTTATCTGACCAGATAAATTTAACCTCCTTTCCCAGGAGACTGTTCAACGGTTTTATCTTTGTAGCCAGATCGGGTATAAAACGGTGATAATAATTTATCAAGCCCAAAAATGTACGCAGTTCCTCGACGTTTGTAGGTGTTGTAGCATTGCGTATCGCAGTGGTCTTATCATCCAGAGGATGCAGGCCCCTCGAATCAATTCGATGGCCCAAATACTTCACGTTCGACTTGAAGAATTGGCACTTTTCCTTCTTCAAGTGCAAATCGTTGTCTCGCAGTTTCTTCAGTACGTTTCTTAATCTTTGCATAGTTTCTTCCATCGTTGATCCTTGCACGATTATATCATCAAAGAAACAGGCTACCCCATCCAATTCGTGCAGTAGTTGATCCATAAAGCGCTGCCAGATATTGGGTGCAGTCTTTACTCCGAACATTAATCTATTGACCTTGTAAACCCCTTTTTCAGTACTTATGGCTTGCAACATTGCGCTATGTTCGTCAACAGGCATGTGTAGATACGCGCGACTGACATCATGTGTACAGAAAAATCTTCCCCCGCTCATTTTCGCAAAAATATCTTCGATCCTGGGAATGGGGTACTTGTCATCCTTCAAAAATCGATTCAATGTCACCTTGTAATCCGCACACAAACGAATGGAGTCGTCAGATTTTACAATCGGAACCACGGGTGTTCCCCATTGACTGTGAACAACCTTTTCAATCACGCCCATCGCCTCTAGTCGATCAATTTCAGCGTTCACACGATCTTTCAAGGCATACGGTACTGGTCGAGCTCTCCAAAATTTTGGTGCGGTGTTCTCTAGCATTTGTAAATTGCTCTCCATCGCTGGAATTCGACCTAATTTATCATCGAAAACATCGCCGAATTCCTTCAAAAACGACTTCAACAATTCATCGGAATTTGCTTGCGTGACCGTGACCTCGTGAATTTCTAAGTCATTCAGCGGACGTTTATGAAGATCCAGGATCCTAATCCACTGTCGGCCGCAAATAGAGTCAACATCATCTCCCACAATAAATAAGCGCCCAATGGTTACTTTGTTTCCAAAACTGATCGTAATATTACATGTGCCCAGTGGCTCAATTATCTCACCAGAGTAAGTCCTCAATCGAGAAGATGTGTCGGAAATCGAGAGCCCAGGACACACCTTCAAAAAATTTCGGTAAGACATCGTCGAAACTGCTGCCCCCGTATCCAGTTCAAATTCACAATTGTTCTCTTCCACCTGGATGTTCACCATAAACTTGCCACTCCCTCCGCTTTTTACGCCGTGCATGTGAAAAATATTTCCAATCGTATACATTTCAAATTGATCGTCTTCAACGATGTCATCATTATCTTCGGATTGCGTTACTTGTCGAACTGTTTTAATGTTTCCCCCCTGCATACAAACGGTGGCAATGTGGCATACCTTCTTACACTTCGCACAAATTTTGTCTTTCATGGAACATCTAAAAGCACGGTGTCCTTCGTGGCCGCATCTGTAACATTTTCCCGTGAAGTCAAATCTTGTAGTTTCTGTCGACGATGTCGGGTTAACTTTTTGTCGGCCTCCGTACGCTTTCCATTTTCGTTGCTCCTTCACTGCATTAACAGGCTCACTATGGGTTTGCTGGCTTCTCTGGATTTCTCTGCTTTCAATTTTTGATGTGTTAATCGCTGTCGCCTCCCGTACAATTTCGTCGAACTTTGTGTCCTCTTTTAGACGCAACAACTCCTGCCGAATATCGTCGTCACGTAATCCACGAATAAATTGTGTCCGCAAATGTGTCTCGATGGTCGATTTTCCACAATCGGTACCTACATGTAAAAGAGCAATTGATGGAGAGGCGTTTCAATTCTTCAATAAACTTCATGATAGACTCTCATTCTGTATTCGCACTGCGAAGCGATGTTGCTGTGCAAATACGTTCGGCTTCGGGCTCAAATGTGTCCTCAACAAGTTAATTAATACGTCGTAGGTTTTTGCCTTTGGCTTTTCCGGAACTGTCAAATTTGTGAGCGTTTGGAATACTGACGGCGGAATAAGTTCAAGCAGCATTCCCACCTTTTCCTTATCCTCTGCGATTTCTTTTCTTTCTAAATAGTTTTCTAATCGATCGATAAAGTTTTCCATCGTTTCGTTTGTCTCATCGTAGGAGTGAAAATGTACCTTCCGTTTTGGAATTGCATTTCCTGTTCCCGTGGAATTTCGTTGCGTTTCATGTAAATCTTGTAAAACATTACAAATTCGGTCCAAAACGTTCTCGAGTTTTGATCCCATCTCCGTCGCCATTTTTATATATTCGCGTTTAATGAAATAAGTTGCAAGTTGTTACTTTTTTGTTCTATTCAATTCGTAATAAAAAAAATTACATCTCGAAAAATTAGAGCGATGCCAACTATATATTATACGTATCATTAATTCAGAGACATAACACATATATTTGTATTTTCTTTTAAAACTTAGGAAATGGGAAACTACTTCATTTAAGAAATCGCATCGGCATTGTAAAACTAATTACGGAATGTAGTTTTTATCGAGGTTTTTATTTATTTAAACAGATAGGTAAGTAATTAAGACAATTAATTCAATGCGGTTATTCAATGACATTTTGTGAAACTCCCACCAGTGAAATGTCGCGAATTTTTTTCGTATTAACCGGAACATTCTTCTTAGTTTGTTAATCAATTTTGACAACCGACTTATCACATCTTTTAATTTGATCACTCATAACGAATGAGCTTATTGGAGCACAAAAGTTCGAATAGAATCAATAGCAGAATGAAAAAGAACTTCCGTAATTTATTTTGTCATGGCTTCAGGTTTATCACGTATAAATTCGCGTGGGTAATTACGCTTAAAGTTTCTTTTGATTCATTGAATAGTCCTTCCGAGTCCTTCGAATACCATTTGTAGTCAAAATATTTCTCAATTATTTTTGAGGTGCTGTTCCACTCATGCTAGTTACATTTTTTAATACAACTCGCGCAAGCGCTCGTGGTATTAATCAGCGTAACTAGCATTCGTTACAGCACCTCAAAAATTATGGACAATACTTCGACTACTCATGGTATTATGTATGAAAATTGTGGTAGTAGTGTACCTATACTTCATTCATTATAAGAAGGTAGTAGATGGCGCTGTGGTTGAAGATATGCACACACAGGAAAAATATTGAAGGGCGCCAAATTTAAAAAAGGAACTAGATTAATTTGAACTACATTATGTCAAATTGTAAAATGTGACTTTTTGATTAATTAGAATACTGTAAAGGTACAACGTGGTGCGCGCGTATCGCAACAGAATTTGTAGCGCATTTTTGCAAATTTATCTGTAAAAATGTAGAATCTCATTTCACTATGGCTGGCTGACTGGTGGGTTGCCAGCAATTTAGGGCCGGTTGAAGAACGCTCGTAGAAAGACGAGGAGTGTACGTGTTTCTACCGGGCTGTGTAATTAGCAACTTTAGGGTCAAGGACGGGACTAGATGATGTGGGGTCGGTGACATCCAGGCGCAATCTCCGAGCTTGGTTTGGTGATTTTTCAGTTTTCTTCTTCTACAGTTTTGGTCCAATTGTTTTCAAACTGGTGTCGTGGGAAAGATGTAAACGCGCTAAACTCCTGTTTAGCGGCCGGAGTTTAGCGGCCGACGCTGTTGCGTTTTATGGAATATGTTTACAATATGTACAAAATTCTGCAATGACAATTTTCCATAATGTTGTTCTTTTAAAGTTTGGCAGAGAATCATCATCATTGACCACATTTAAAACTTTTTGCAATGTTGGAAGTTCATTTTTAAAAAAGAATCTATGGACATGTCTTCGTATAGCTGCTCTTTCAAAGTCTTCGAGGTGGTCATATTTTGTTGTGCAAAGCCGCTTTTTCCTAGGCGAACGTGCAGTGCCACAGCTTTTGACTTCCTTAACAATATTCCACATCATCCTTGGGCCAATACCAATCTCCTTGGAAGTTTGCTTCACAGCTGCAGTTTTACTCATATTTTCAACGCTTGCATTCTTTTTGAAAATGTTATATGCCATAAGTTTTTGGCCACTTCGAATTGGTTTTCCCTTCCTATTTTTGTATTCTTTAGGCTGATCGGCCATAATCACACGGTTAGGTAACTGAAAGTCGGTGCTTTTAAAAATTAAAGAAATTATACCTAATATTCCAGTGTAATCAATAGAAAATGATAAGAACTGGTAATACGCTCAAAAAAGAAGAAATATCCAGCACTGTAAACAGCTAATGACAGTTCGAGACAGTTCGATAGTTAGTTAGCCACAGCAACTACCAACTTATATAACAAAATGCACTCGTTTTATTTTTGTGCATAAAACTGGCTCGTGTTTTAACCAATCACAGTGAAGGTCAAAGCTTCCCCATACTTTCTACCGCTACCTTCTTATAATGAATGAAGTTTTTTTATAGTAGAAAAATCATGTACAAGACAAGAAATAAATATATGGACCAAGGCGCATCGCCTATACAGGGTAATCACAATTTAGTTAGCACATTTAAAAATGTTAGATTCTTTTATGTATGTTTTAAAAGGTGGTGTTTAAGATAGGCTTTAGTTTTTGTTGCAAAATCACAATAAACACATTTAAAATCCTTAGAAACTTTATGTGTTATTAAAATATGTTGTTTAAAATTACTTTTATCATTGGTCCCATAATCACAATCAGCACATTTAAAATCCTTAGAAATTTTATGTTTTAAAAGATGTCGTTTCAAGGCGTGTTTATTATTTGTCTCATAATCACAAGTAGCACATTTAAAATCCTTAAAAACATTATGTTTTAAAAGGTGTTGTTTAAAGTGGGGTTTATAATTTGTCTCATAGTCGCAATTAGCACATTTAAAATCTTTGGAAATTTTATGTGTTAAAGAGTGTCGTTTTAAGTAGGTTTTATTATTTGTCTTGTAATCGCAATTAGTACATTCATATTCTTTAGACACTGTGTGAGTTAAACTGTGACTTTTAAGATACTCTTTATTGTAGGTCTTATAATCACAATTAGAACATTTAAAATCCTTAGAAACATTATGTGTTAAAAGATGTCGTTTGAAGACATGTTTATCATTTGTCCCATAATCACAAGTAACACATTTAAAATCCTTTAAAACTTTATGTTTTAAAAGGTGTTGTTTAAAGTGGGGTTTATAATTTGTCTCGTAGTCACAATTAGCACACTTAAATTCTCTGCAAATGTTATGTATTAAAGAGTGTCGTTTTAAATAGGTTTTATTATTTGTCTTGTAATGGCAATTAGAACATTCATAATCTTTAGACACCGTGTGAGTTAAAATGTGATTTTTAAGATAGTCTTTGTTGTAGGTCCTATAATCACAATTAACACATTTAAAATCCTTAGAAACATTATGTTTTAAAAGATGTCGTTTGAAGTTATGTTTATCATTTGTTCCATAATTACAATCAGCACATTTAAAATCCTTCGAAGCTTTATGTTTCAAAAGATGTTGTTTGAAGTTGCGTTTATCATTTGTCCCATAATCACAATCGACACATTTAAAATCCTTGGAAACTTTATGAGTTAAAAGATGTCGTTTGAAGATGTGTTTATGATTGGTCCCATAATGACAATTGCCACATTTAAAATCCTTAGAAACTTTATGTTTCAGAAGATGTTGTTTGAAGTTGCGTTTATCATTTGTCTCATAATCGCAATCACCACATTTTAAATCCTTAGAAGCTTTATGTTTTAGAACATGTTGTTTGAAGTTGCGCTTAACATTTGTGCCATAATCACAATCAGCACATTTAAAATCTTTAGACACTGTTCTACACTGATTTAAAAGGTGACACTGAAAGTCAGAATGTTGCTGCACTTCATTATAAAGAGGTTTAGAACAAGCTGATGTACTGTTAACTTCGTCCTTTATAGTCAACAATACTTCGTTACTTACTGAAATGTGTCCCTGAAGAAAGGAATGGATTTCTTCTTCTTGTTTTGGTTCGATTTTAATTAGTGGTGTGTCATTACCTCCATCCATTCCTAACAACAATAATGTTATAATTAAATGTGTTAAGCATGTATGTATTTTGATATTAAACAATACCTACAGATGAAGATTTTATGGCATCCAGACATTACTTACTTTCTTTTTCTTAGTACTTCATCTAATTCCTCGAATGGTAATTCAGCACGGTATAAGAATATTTATACCGTGTAATTCAGTAATCAAACAAAATCTAATGCTCATTGCTCAGTGGAACTTGTATGTACTTGTAAATATAACAACTATTTTGAGGTTCTCTTAAGTTGCGGTTCTTCAGCGTTGCCACGTTTAAGTTGGCATCACAGAGATTTCTTACTCTGAGGTTGGCATACAACAAAAGAGAGATAGTGAATCATCCGACTCAATCAGCCATGGAATTATTGCCATGCTTCAAACATTTAAAGGATTAATACGAGACCGCGAGGTGCCTGCCACAGAATATTCTTAAATGACTGATAATAAAGCATCATTTGAAAATAATATACTAACCTTGGGCATAGCTTAGGCATAATTTTCACATCTCATTTTGACGCACCTTGTATAACTGTTGCAGTGTGTAACAGTTGGTACAACGATAATATAAAAATAAAATTCTTAACCAAAAAAGTTAAATGACAATGACAATTTGCACCCTTTTTTTTGTAGATAAATAATGATTTATTTAGCGTAACCAAGACAAGCATAAACAAATAATCCATGGTTTTACGGGAAACGTGCAATTTATTAATTTTTTTAATGTTTTGTATTAGTTGGCATTTCAACTGCCCCACTGCCAATATGCCACTATCGCTGATAACTCCGACATAGGAATAATCGCAAAATTAATTTAAAAATGAATGCCTTACTCTGTTATAAATTCTTATATTTACAATAAATGCCTAGCTTGTAGCGAGTGATCAAATGTTAATACGTTATGGGTATATGCTGGTGCAAAGAGAAGCATGAAGAAAGTGAAACCTATTTTCCACAATCAAGCAATGACAATATTGATAATGCAATACAATCGGTTACGCCATACTCTGCGGCTGAATATTACATGGAAAATACGGAAAAAGGCTGTCCTGATTCTAGCGTTGTAGATAAACTCGTTATAGAAACTTTAGGTATTATCGGTACGCTTGTAGATAAGTATGTCGACTTCATACTTTTCGTAGGGTTAATGTCACGATCGTTTTAGCGAACAGGAGCCTCCTGCATCGATGCTACGTTTACATAATATAGCAGACAACGAAGAGGGATGGATTCAAGTTGTGAAATCTATGGTAAATGTAATACCTATGCTCGACCCTTTGGGTCCGTCGGTAATAACACTCCTACTTGACGACTGCCCGCTGCCGTCCAGAGAATCGGTCCTGCATGTTGCTTCAATGTTCAATTTATCGGCACAGAGCGCTATAGCGGATAGGGCAAACGCTCCGAAGCAAAGAAATATCAGCGTAGTGTTGGGTTGTATAGCTGAAAAATTGGCCGGACCTAGTAGTTTAGGAATTTTAACCAACTCCACTTTAGACTATCTGATAACAAATCTGGTAAGTATTAATAAATGGGGGGAAAAAATGTGTTAAGGCCGCTTGTAGGACATGGACGCCGATCCCCACGTGATTTTATTTTCGTTAATTGCTCTCGAGAAATTCGCCCAAACTAGCGAAAACAAAGCGACAATCATTCGACGGCTGCAGGATGAGATTTGTTGTCCGATTTCGAAATTAGAGCCGTGGATTAATGAGGAACATTTTGTTAGGAGGCAGGTCGGTTTTTGTGCTCAGTGGGCATTGGATAATCTGTGTAAGTTTCAAATTGAATTGCACAATATTATATAGGGCTCTTTTATGTAAGGCATGTCCCAAAGGCAGTTAGTCAGTAAAATTGCATTGGGTGTTAGGTACAGACTAATAAAAACCGTGACACAGTTCTCTCAGATTTTTTAAGTGGATGGGTAGTTGGTACTGGGAATTTTTGTACAAGACAATAGTTACTGCCTAATAAGATTACACAATTATGTCTCAGTGACCACGAGCCCGAGCCTGTAACAGATTTTCCTCTGTTGCAATTGCTAATTGGTAGCACAGAAATAGGAAAACATCCCTTGCAACATCTAAAAATAACTCACTTCCGCTCGCTTTCTTCCATTATGCGCCACTTTTATGTTACAATTTACTTCTGAAGACATTTTCCCACCACTCACAGCAATGCACAATTCAGATTTGTGATTTTCAAATTCAAAAACCCCCAAATACCAAATTTTCTTGAAATAAGACTTTTGTTTCGCACTCCCATTTAGGGATGCACCCTTTCATGGTAGGAAAAAATTTGAGCAAAATCGGAAAGGACATACCCCAAAACCTATTCACAACAGTCTTTCTTATGGTTGCTGAGAAAAAAATTAAAGAAGAAATGCAAATTCCACACTTTTTTCAGGGTGACACCCAAACGAAACATGTTGAACCCTCAGTTTGTTTGGAAAAAGTGCTTGTTATGATTCACTTTACCATTTTTGAAAACTCTTTGAAAATATCGCTGACTATTCAATTCATCTAACATTTGTCACATTTCAACCAGTGAAATGTCTCGGTTTCAAATTGCTGCGCCAATGGGAACGAATTATAGTGATAATTTCACGTGTGGTATTTCAGCGATTATATCATTCATACGACATTGAGCCAATCAAAACTTCCACTTTCCTTAGATACCAATGCATTAATAAGCGATTATACCCTTGACGACGTGATATAATCGATTTGGTGTTTTCGCTATGTCATTTAAAGTCATAAATCTAGTATACACTATATTTGATGACAATAACAATAACTGTCAAAATAAAATTCTATTCATTATATAATCGTGTCGAATACCACTTGAGCATTACAAAATAATTTTTATACTACCTCGTAACTCGACGAATAATCCGTTGAAACACCACTCGACCTTCGGTCTCGTGGTGTTTCGGATCATTCGTCTCGTTATTCGGTAGTATAATCGATTATTTTGTATGCTCTTGTGATATTACAATTGATAATTTCACGTGTGGTATTTCAGCGACAATTCAATGCGATTATTCAATGACGTTTGTCAAACTTCCACCAGTGAAATGGCGCGAAATTTTGTCGTATTAACCGGAACATTCTTCTTAGTTTGTTAATCAATTTCGACAACCGACTTATCACCACATCTTTTAATTTAATCACTCATAACGTATTAGCTTGGAGCACAAAAGTTCGAATAGAATCAATAGCAAAATGAAAAGCAACTTCCATAATTTATTTTGACGTTTATTGTTGTCATGGAAATACATTCGCGTGGGTAATTTATTATGCTTAATTTTTCTTTTGATTCATTGAATAGTCCTCCGAATACCATTCGTAGTCGAAGTATTTGTAGATTATTTTTGAGCTGCTGCTCCACTCATGCTAGTTACATTTTTTAATACAACTCGCGCAAGCGCTCGTGGTATTAATCAGCGTAACTAGCATTCGTGACAGCACCTCAAAAATATTCGACAATACTTCGACTACTTATGGTATAAAGGTGGGTTCATAGCTCTCCGTTCATACGTTTCCGTTTGTCCGTTAACCAATCAGAAGACAGCAAATTTTTAAATCGTACGTCGTCCGTTTACGACGGAAAAGTTGGTTGAAGTTGAACATTTACGTTTCCGTTGGTCCGTTTTTAACAAAAGTGAGGTTATGTTTGGCACGTTAACAGTGTTCACCTATTCGTTCTTCAGGGTAATAATCAAATAGCAACGTGTTCTTACTTTCGTACCATTTTTCAATACTGAAAATCACGGAGGGTATAGTACAAAATAAAATTTAGGTTATGGTTATATGTTGCAAATGTACAATGTGGACGGATTGCTATGAACCTTAACAAAATGTATTATCCGTTTGACGGATCAACGCAACGGATGAACGGAGAGCTATGAACCCACCTTTATATATGAAAAACTGAAAATGCCAACTTTGGTTTTCATTTTCCCTAGCTTAAACGGCCGGAAATGGGCGGTTCCCGTTACCACCTTTGATGGGTGCTTTTTTTTCGGAGAATCTCAATCTGTTATCAGAATTTCCATAGCACGCTACATGTAGAAACTACAGGCTACCACTTGCCTATTTCTTATGGGCGCCATATAGAATTTTTACGGAATGAGATAGAGGACAAAAATCGTACATTATATACCGAGGGACTAAAATGGGTGTTTTAATCCCGAGCGTTCAGATTGTTGCCCAAAATGAAGGATTAGGGCGCACTTTAGTCATGTGGTATATATATGCTATTTTTTTGTACTCCTGTAATCGGTTACAGCAATTTCAATGTTCAAGTCCAAATTTGAAAGAAAAAAATTTGATTGTAATAATAATAATAATAATATATATTTCAGTATATTGGAAAATCAATATACCTTGTCATGTCAAGTAGTGTATATAATAATAAATGGCAGTTTAATGCGAGGTTTAATGTATTTGGTTTAATTTAAAGATTCTCGTTCAAAACTATTGGACAGAAATGATCACTTAAAACTTTGCAGAACAAGCTATGAGGAAACTACTGCCTCACAAATTGAAAAAGATATATGGAAAATGTATAAAATGTGACTCAAGAACCAAAATGTGCATATAAAGAACAACATTAAATTGTGTTTGACATTTCAGTATGTCACTTTTGTCCCCCGTCACGTTTTTCTCCCTCCGGGAGTGACACTTTAGTTCCTTAAATGAATGACAAAACAGGTTGATTTAGTCCACGGGGTATAAAAAAGAAATTCATTTGAATGCATCGCCACCATACTCACGTTGATTCAGCAAGATCTACTTACCTGTGGGTATTTTGTTGAGAAGTGAATGTAAAACATTTGATTTTGAAATTTTTCATGTAAATTTATGTGGTTATGACGTGTGAGACATCTTTATCTTTATGTCTCATTCCGTAAAAATCCAATATGGCGTCCATAAGAAATAAGAAAGTAGCACCCTCAGAGTAAGAAATAAAAGATAGAGGACGCATACGCTATAATAACACGAAGGTTTGTTTTTATAATAATAATAATGACATTTATTGAGCACACATTATACAAAGAACAGATATTATACATTACATTACATACTGGGTGACTCAATAGGGCGAAGTTCAGACTGGAATAAACCGTGTTATTCCGTCTGCTCTCCCACTCAACCCGCTACATATGAAATTAACAACAAGAGACCAAGACATAAAAAAAACCTCGCAAGAAAAAACTATATGATAATAAAAAACATTCAGTATGAAGGCACAAATGAAAACCTAAAAAAAATGTAAAAAAAAAATTATAGCAATAATGATGTTAACGATGGAACTTAATGCTGTCTTGCAAGGAGTATGAGGCGCAAGCGTTTTTTAAAAAGACTTTCGGATAAATGTTTCGTTTATGCTACATAACCACAAAAACTGCACCCTTTCCCCATTTTACGGGGTACTAATAAATTATTAAACCCAATAGAATTAAACTATAAAATGAGCTAAAAATGCAGAAATCACGTTTTGTAAAAATAAACAGAAATCCTCTCAACCGTCAAAAACGCTACACAGCAGCGTTTCTGTCGTTACACTAATAATGATCAATTTTCTTATTAAGGTGTTTAATTTCGATATATAATTGTTTGATTTTAACAAATCGTTTAAGAATTTCAAACTCTGTTTAAATCCTTCCAAATATACAGGGTGATTCCTATAGTACCTTCCACCGTTTGGGAGCGTGTAGGTGGTGCGTAGGGGAGTATTTTGATATAGGACACTTGGGGTCGGAAATCTAAAATAAGGGTGCCAGAGCCAAATTTACCTTCTGGAATTTCGCGCCTGTAGGTAGGCAACCCAACCGGCCAGCGGTGCACACGAAGCGATCTCAGGCGGCGATGTGTGGCTGACACTTGATCAGAATTTTGTTTAAACCCACGAAATCCCGTCTGCAACGACGCGTATCAAGTGAATAAACACTATGGCAATAGTATAATAATAGTTGGCTAGATGTAGGAAGTGCATTGAGATTTGAGAACAACGGTGGCCACGTTGAACACTTGTAAACGTTATTGCTTTGACTGTCGTTTTCCCTCCTTCCCTCCCATGTCGCTTCCTCGCGCTAACTCGCTCTGCATCGCTCCGCGCGAAACGTCGGTCGGTTGGGTTGCCTACATACAGGCGTGAAATTCCAGAAGATAAATTTGGTTCTGGCGCCCTTATTTTAGATTTCCGAACCCAAGTGTCCTATATCAAAATACTCCCCTAGGCACCCCCTATACGCTCCCAAACGGTGGCAGGTACTATAGGAATCACCCTGTATATGTACTATTAATATTCATCTCAAAATCATCTCGGGAAATGTGACAAATTCACTTCCCATAGAGGGTGCTAACGGGAACCGTCTATTTCCGACCGTAAAATGAAAACGAAATTTGGTATATTTCAGTTTTTCGGTGATATCTCGGTTATTTTCAAAAATTTAAAATGCGTTTTTTAGTCACAAAAAGGGGTAACTTTGCCCCCATTTAACCTACACGGTATATGTCACCATTACGCAAATCCCAATGGTGAGCCACGAATTTGAACCGCACTGTACATACAACGATTATACACAACTAACTTCATACAGGAGATAATGGTGGTGTCTACTTTACATGCATTCGGATCAGTACGTACTTACATTTACCACCGTTACAGGTTGGCTTGTTTATTGCCTAGGTTACCTAGGTATGATTCGTGGATGTATATCATAATAATAAGCCTACTGTTTACTGCGCAGTAATATACACATTACAAATTGTCAGGAAAGGGTGGCAGCTGTACGCTGTACAATTCATATTACCTG